ATTCAAATAAAAAGGAAAGAGTCACACATACAAAAATGTGAAGAGGCTAAAAATCATTTCAGATGCAACGGGATAAAAAAGATCAACAAGGTTAAATAGCCATGATCCCTACACAATTACACAATAATTATTTCCTGTATATCAACCATGAATTAAAAAGCAAAAGAAAAAAAAGAAAAAGAAGAAAGGAAATACGGCCACCAAGCTCTATTTTGACCCTTCAGTGAGGGCAGATTTTTCTTTAGACAGGAAAAGGTCTGCTTACATGAGAAAATGGTATTGCCTGATGGGAGCTAGTTTTAGTGGAAAAGTGAGATAACAGAAGAAAAAAAATGCCTGTAGAGGCCTCTGTGCATCCCAGGCATCCGGAACTACAAATGCTTTTAGACTCTAATCTTTTATCACTGAAACCTTGTGTGATCATTCAGTCTCCAAGCAGCCTGTTCTTGCTAGTTTGAGTGTGAAAAATGAAACAACTGGTTACACGGTTGTGTTTGACAAAACTTGTACAGAAGCTTGTCAGTTTTGCACAGATTTCAGCAACTCCTAATTAGAAAAATGGAAGAAACTTATTTCCCATAGCACAGCAAGCCACAGCCATTGAAGTCAGTACAATTTAATTTTTCTGAGTCTGCGAGATCTCCTGGAATTTCAAAGAGGATCACTCTGAATCATTGCTGCCTCTTTTTCCTCTCGGCACAGTGTTTGGGATCAGCTCCTCTAAGCTGCACCTAACAAAAATTATTGAAACAGTAATATATTGTAATTATTACATAGAGATAATATATTTACTAATATGTACTAGTAGAAATAGAACACACAAAGAGTTATCTTCATTTTAGGAATTGACGGCCTCCTGCTGCTTCGTAATGCGAAGAAGGTTGTATTCATATCTGGCAGCTCTTACAAAGCTTTCTGCTGCCATGTTCTGTCATCAGCTGTCCTCAGGCAGAAAATGTTATGTACTGTGCAGTTAACCCCAGCAGAAGTTGCTCATCTACCAGATTAAACATAAACGCAAAACCATCAGAGCTCCATGTTTCTTACAAACTAAGCTTAAATAAAATTACAGACTTAATTTGAAAATGTCTCAGTTTCTAATCTCTGAAATGAGTCTCTGAGACCTCCGAATTCTAGCCTTTGTCTTATCCAGCAATACTTCTCCTGACCACCACAAATATCAGCACATCTCAAGAATGTCAGCAAAGATGTCCTGCTAAATATTTTCCTCTGTTTTTTTTTTCTCCTTGATGAATCACAAAATCTGCTTTAATGCACCAATTTTCATTAACAGGCTTTACAAATACCAGCAGGATTTACAAAAGCAGCTCTGTGATCATCAATAAAGCTCATACAGATGTATTTCTGTGTCCATGAAGGAAGCAGCTGTTTGTTGAATTTAGGATAATGAAATCTTCCTTGACATACAGACTGCGAACACCACCATATCGGCATGCCCAATGTATATCAACAGTTCTTGTTAGGTTTCATGGCCTCAAGGCTTATCAGACCATTTCTCTGCATTTCCCTGCACAATGTTTGAGCCACAGATGTTGGAAAGAAAACAGATGGCAAATACACTGGAGAGTACAACAAATCCCCAGCTTCCAGTGTAGACTTTGTCCACTAAAACTGTATTCAAACAGTGAATAAAGTAAATAGCAAGTGGAGTTTGTCCAGAAATAGCAAGAAATGTTTTCAGCATAAGAGATGTTAATGATAGATACATCATCCCCTCCTTGGCTTGCACAGTTCCACAAGAAGATTCAAGTCTTTATCAGTTTTCTCACTAAGAAAGACGACTTCTTTGTAGGCTGGGTGACCTTCACTACTAAAAACAAGAACAGCTCTGCTTACATGGTTGCATAGAGGGGGACATGGTTGGAAGGTTATAGGCAAGTTCAAAACCCATAAATATTTATACCTGAGAACTAACTGTGCAACAGCTGACTTTGCAGTGAATAGGCTCTTTCTGCATTTATTCTTATCCCACATATTCTGGGGATAGGAATTTACAGGGTTTAACTTGGGTGCTTACTTATGGAAATCTGGCTTCATTACCATTCTTATTCCAGCTGAGTTTGACCTGAGCCATGGATGATGTCTAATCTTACCAGAACCAGATTTCACTTCCACTTATTATTTTGCTTTCTAAAGTTGGCTTTGTTTATTAATTGATTCCATGCATAATAGCTACACTCCTTGAAAGCCTTCTCAACCGCACTATTCAATGTTCTTTAAGATTTGAAGTTGGGGTTTTCAGTAAGATTTATTTGTTTTTACTAATATGAAGAGTTAAGGAATACAGCATTTCTGAGACAGCTATCAGGTCTATTGTACACAAAGAGGAAACAAAACAGCGTTTTACTGATCACTTAGAAATAGGAATAGAATATGTATCTGATAAAGATCTGTAATTTTTTACCTCTAAGCACTGGAAGACTATTCTTGAAAAAAACAAGATTATTTAGTCCTGACAACTGCTTTCAACATAACTGCCGAACAATTATTTGAGGGCAAGGGAATTTTCTAAATACAACAAATTAATTCAGAAAATCGTCTAGGGATAAATTCAGGGATGGAAGAAAGCTGGGCTTTGTAAAGTTTTATTTACATAGGTCATTATAACTATTTTAATGTGATTAGATTTCCTATGTAGCTTGGAAATTTACTTGTGCTTTTGTCCTGTAAAGCTTTGGATTACTGCACCCTTTGTAAGCAAACATAACCATCTCTAGAGCAATGATGTTCTAACTGGGGAGAACAGTTTAATCTTTATGTTTAGCTCCTTCTGATCCATTTTAACTTCATCTGGCAGATGCGTAACAAATACTCAGTTCCTGCAAGCCAGTTTATCCCTTTTTTTTTCAATGAATACTTTTTTCATACCTTGCCTGCACTTTGTAAAGTATTTTTAGTCTGTCAAGATTCTACTCAAGGTATTGGAAAATACAAAATCAAGTCAAACAATGAGTCCTATTCATTCATTCCATGTCTTTGATAAGAGAATAGAGGTTAAGAATTTTCCATGGTAACTTCTGACAATAACATGATGGATTCCAATTTTAGTCTTTCAGGATCAAATCTATTACTTTAAGCAAAGTTACTCCAAAGATACCCATTCTTCAACTTCTTACACCAGACGAAAAGGCCAGTGGGCTACTGAGGGGCTGTAACAGCCCTGACTCCAGAAAGAAAAATAGTTTTCTGGCTTGGATATAAGGTAAAAATGTCCATTTCCAAGAAACATCTGGCAGGCACTGGACTAGCAGCTTTGGTAGGGAGGGTTCCAGAGAAAGGAGAAGTTTGTTAGGCATGAAGACTTATAGCTGTAGGTAAATATATATTTTTTTGGAACATTTGCATTAGTTATGCAAATGTTCACTCTTGATATGATACCTTTGAATGCTTGAAGTTAGTTGCATGACTAAATTCATGTGAAGCATCATACATTTACTCATATAGCTTATTATTTGGTGGATTGAGCTGTTGTGAGAATGTAGGGTTCATTGCAAAAATATTTATGGTCCTTCCTGCCATCTGATAGCTGCATATACTTATACAGGCTAATATTTTTATTTTTTTTAACATACAAAATTTCTGCACTTTTAGACAAGAACTGCAACTTAAAGAAAAAACATTCAGCTATACTACAGTGTCAAACATAATCACAGATCGATTGACATGTCAGTCATGACATTATCCAAAACCTCTCTGGGTGAAGTTACCTTTACATAAGTTAGTGCAAAAAGGCAAAATAAGTGAGATGATTGAAAAAATTACTATTTTTGAAGGGAGGGAAATGTGGACACAAGATATCTGCTACAGAATGGCATTCTATTTATTCCTTTTGGCACTGTAAACCTAATTAAATAGTTAGATTTTAAAATCTTTATGAGAATCTTAATTATTAATGTCATCAACAGGCTGAAAAAAATGTAGGTTAGGTGTGGGGAGAGTTTGGCTCTGCAAAGACATTACTTAAAAGCAATTTTTTTTTGCATGACTGAGCACATGTGCACATAGACTAGATAGTCACACTTTACGATGAGGTTACACTTATAAATAATTTATAAAGGGTTGGTAAACATTGTAGGCTCTTAAAGAATCCACAAATTCCATAGTTTTGTTGTAACAATATAGAACACCCTCAAGTAATGTGCAACCAAGTATAATTTATGAGAGTCATATTTAGTATTGTTTATGATATATATTAATCATTTATTAATCCTTTATGAACTATTTATAAATGTAATCTTAATGGAAAACATGGCTGACTAGTTACTCCATCGCGCTAGCTACATGTGAGTTAAAGGTTGCAGGCCTCTTTGCCCCTCCTTTTTAACAAGCTAAGCAGTCCTTAGACAAGGCAACACTCACTAGCTGTTTCCTTACAGTTTCCTCGGAAGATACGAGTCGGAAAGAGGCACTACAAAGAGGCTATACTTGTAAGCAAATGTACAGAATCCCGTTTTTACATCTTCTCCAAGATTTCAGCAGAGCTACCACAGGTCTGCCTCACAGGGTCCATGAGACAAAACATGTTGCAGATGATCCACACATATTGAAGTCTATGAAGTCTTGGTTCCTGAGGACTCTTGCATAGTTTGGTACATTGGACCACCAAAATATAAGTCATATTTCTAGGAACTGAGCAGAGAAGGGTTGCTGTGTAAATGTGTGACATCCATCAGTCCTCATGGTTTCCACAGGAAAATGGGCAGTGCAACAGAAATGGTTGCTCCAGTCTAGGCCACCATAATGTCTAGGAACAGATCCTGGCTTGCAGGACTATTCTTCTGCTCTGAAGCAATTCTGCTTGCCAAGACACAGCTACTTGCACTCGCTGCAGGGAAGCTCCACTAACTTTCATGTGACAGTGCAGCTTTATTCCTGCTCTTTGCTTCTTTATGCGTCCCGTGAAATCTCTTGCTGAGGCATTTGATACCAGAGTACAATCCCAGAGCATTAATTCTTCACTTGTTCTTTTGCAGGAAACAGATCTTATTCTGACCTTTAACATCTCGATGCATCGTTCTTGGTGGATGGAGAATGGGCCAGGCTGCACCGTGACCTCAGTAACCCCAGCCCCAGACTGGGCACCGGAGGATCATCGTTATATCACTGTCTCGGGGTGTTTTCTTGAATATCAGTACATAGAAGTGGCTCACAGTTCTCTTCAGATCTTCCTAGCAGTAAGTGTTTACAGATAGCTTCATTTCCACCACCTTTTCTTTTCTCTTATTGCAGAACGTCATTACCAGAATAGTCGAGCATCGTGCTATTCGTTCACAGACGCTGGCTCTAAGTGTTAGTTTTGTTATGAAGCTCTGTTGTCTTACAGCTAGTTCAGGATACCTGTACATGAAAAACTCCAACGTACATGTTTATTGATGTAAGAACTGCTGACACGACACCCTCTGTTTTCCTGACCTCCATTTTGACCATTGACCATGCCACAAATCATTTATAGCAGGTTACATTCAAATTACACTACAGCGTATAAGTTGTGGCATAATAAGAAGTTACAGGTATTGCTACAAAAGCCAAATTGAATATAAAAGAAAAGCCAAAATGAAGGAGAAATTTTCAACAGTAAAACCAGATTCACTGATGTCGTGGGTTAGGCTGAGTCCGGCAACCAAACCCACGCAGCTCTCCCAGTCCAGTAAAATGGAGAGGAGAGAAAAATGTAATAAAAGAGCTGAGGATCGAGACAGGAACAGAGGAGCACCCACCAACCACGGTCCCGGGCAAAAGAGGATTTTTCTTAATGCAAAACTATTTATTAACAGCTACCCACAAAAGAGAAAAGCACACAAAAACGGTTACTTGAGAGAATAACAAGAAAACAAGGCCAGGTCTTAAAAACAACACCACTCCCCCCCTTTGCTTCTTCTTTCCGGCTCTACCTCCTCCCCCCAGCGGCGCAGGGGGGCAGGGAATGGGGGAGTGCAGGTCAGTTCATCCCAAGTTGTTACTGCCGCTTCTCTTAAAGGAAAAGGAGTCCTTACACCATTGTCCCTTGCTCCAGCGGATCCCCTACTCACGGCGAAAGCGTGAATCCTACCCGCTGGGGGGCAAATCCTTACCCCATCGGATTTGCCCCAAGTGCGGGCTTTACCAGTCCTGGGCTTTTAAGGAGCC